TTCCATGGTTAAATGTCTCCCTACTCCCATTTTCACAGTAGGAAATGGGGTTGCTAGCCCATAAACTTTTCTCAAACCTTATATGAGAGAATCAGGAATTTCAGTTTTGACTGACTGAGTCTGGAATACTGACCTAGCCTTCTGAGTTCTTCCAAGGTGGCCAGAGTCTCAGCGGTAACTTAGTCCAAAGCTGCAGGGCAGCTGTAAGGAAAACAGCCTGGATTTCCCTCGTTTTTTCAGGAGCTACCCAGCTTCTCAAATGTGGACCTGGGCAATAAGTGATGCCAACATCCCCACAGTGGCCTCAAGGACTGGAAAACTAATATCATATGTTTGGTTTGGCCTCCTCTGGGAGTCAGCTTATGAGTATGTGAGTGAATTTGCCAGTCTATCTATAGAGAATATTTGTCTTCAGCTGTCAGCCTTAACCTGCTCTTCACTTGCCATAAAAACCCTAGGAATACTTGAGAGTTTGACTGTAAGACTATCTTTAGACAGAGCTATTGATTCCTTTCAATATAGAGTTGTCTTTGTTGTTGTTCTGCAGTATTAGGGTTTAAACTGAGAATAAGGCCTTGATATTGTGTCTCATATAGCGATGGTGAAGACAGCAGGCCTCACTGATGGGAAGTGGCAGTTTCTCAGATCCAAGCATCATTTACATGCCCAAACAGCCAAGGAAAAATCACACATGATCATTAATAAATGATATTGTTAAGACATAATGAGGATGGGAACCCAGAAACAACTTCACATTAGAGGAGGTTAAAATACATGTTATATAGCAATTCTGCACTTGAGTGCCCTTTAAGGAAAATCCAAAACAGAAAACAATCAACAACAAACATCCCACTGAGCACTGTGGCTTATACCTGTAATCTTATGTTACTCCGGAGCCTGAGATCTGAGGAGCTATCAGATAGCAGATAGCTTGAACAGGAAAGTCCATAAGACTCTAATTTCCATTTAACCACCAGAAAACCAGAAGTGGCACTGTGGGTCAAAATGATAGAGCACTAGCCTTGAGGGAAATAAGCTCAGGGATAGCATCCAGGCCCCAAGTTCAAGCTCCATGACCACCACCACCACCACCAAAATAATATCCCAATGACTTTTCAGTAGGGACCAGAGGAAAGATATTAGAGAGTTCAAAGAGAAATAGTAAAGCTAGAATGATGGTAGGTACCCTTTTCTGTATGTGATTCCAAAGGACCTACTGACTTAAAACTCAATCATAAAAGAAATTCAACCTTTTGGCTTGAAACTCTGTCACTTGTTAAAATGGAAATATCTATGAATCACCTCTAATTGGGACAATTTTTGTTGTTGTTGTTGGTCATGGGGCTTGAATACAGAGCCTGGGTCTGGATACTGTCCCTCAGCCCTTTAGTTCAAGACTAACACTCTTACCACTTGAGCAACAGTGACACTTCCAGCTTTCTGGTGGTTTATTGGAGATAATAGTCTCATGGACTTTGCTGCCTGGGCTGGCTTTGAACAGCGATTCTCAGATCTCAGCCTCCTGAGTACTTAGGATGACAGGGAGGAGACACCGGCACCCAACTTGATTGGGTCTATTCTATCCCTACTTGAGAAGGTAATGTGATGAAGTGGAGGGGAGGCAAAAGAAAGAAAGAAGCATATTTATCAGGTAGCCACAGCTAAACAAATATTTCTACCTTGAATTGCTACCGTTTAAAAAGAAAGCTGCTCAAAATTAAGAAGAGTGAATAAATATCCCCTGCTCCTGCCTGCCTGCCTGTCCTCTAAGAGATCCTTGGTTCACTTGGCTGATATTACTTGCTTCTGAGCTGGACAGAAAGCAGCAGAAAGGCAACCTAGCGCTGGGCCTGAGCTGGGTCTGGAAATGGGAGGAACTGAGATCCAGTCTGAGGATTTTTCTCTGGCTTGCTGTGTGGTCCTCTAGCTAGTTTCCAGATGACTTTAGTTTCCTCGTATGTCTAACTAAGATAAACACCTAACTTCCTACATCTCTGGGTGTCATTTCTGCCACTTTCATTAGCTTTATGGAAAAAAAGCATAGGGATAAATTCTTAGAGAAAATTTGAGATGAATTATTTGTACTGCTAACATCATCTTTATGCTATGAGAACTTGCATAGGATTAGGAGCAAGAGTAATGGGAGGAAGGGATAAAAGAACACAGCACACTCACTCTAGAAGCAGCCTTTGTAGTGCTTTGTAGTGTTGGGGTACAAGGGAGAGAAGTCTACAATTGGTACCAGATGCCATCAGAAACTAACGACCTGACAAACACCGTCCTCATAAAACAAATTCCTTAAAAAAGGAAGCAAATGGAAATATAAGCTAGTGAAAGAATTTGTAGCCACTGCCCTAAAACCATTTCTCACTTCATAACTAGGACTTTGGTTCCCCTCTCTCTTTCTCACTCTCTGTTTCTCTCTGGCCTTGGTCATATTTCATGCCACTTTTCCCTCCTGTGTGCTTCTGTCTTGCTCTTTCTTCTCCACTGCTAATGTTGATAGACTCCTCCTACTGTTGGAGTGATCAGAGATCAGAGCAGCAGCCTTCAGTACAGCTCAGCCTTCTCCTCCATAGGAGAAGGCTCGTGCACAGTGTTTGCTTTCTGTCTTGTCACAGCATGTGTTTGTGCTCAAAAACCATGAGGATTAACTACATGATGTCACTAAAAACAGCACGCCCCCTCTTTTGCCTGAATTTCTTGGCAATCAGTTGATATGAAGCAGCATGTTAATGGCTGAGTTTTCCAATGCTTCCTGTTCAACTCAATAAAGAAGATACTGTATTTGGGACACAATAGTCCATAGCATCTGTGGAGTTCAGAGTTCTTCACATCCCTAGAGACTTACACTCCATATTTTATACCCAATAATCAGCATTAGATTTGGGGAACTATGCTGATTCATTAAGAGCCATCCCTCCCTCCACTCATATATTTCTCCCTTCATCAGGTTGATGATTGATACTGTACCATCACAAGGAAAAGCTAGAATACAAAGGAGTAAAAAGTGTTCCCTCATATTATTTACCTCCAGTGCCTACATCCTCTATCAAGTATGTGTAAAGGAAATGAGAATGTCCCTGGAATATGGTTTAAATCCAAAAAGTTTAAGGTCAGGGACAGCAAATTAATCACAGTCAGATCAAATCTGCCCTTTGGGAGATGCTGCATTTTTAATCAACTCTCAATTATCTAAGCCACTATGTGCATATCCAATGACATTTTACTTTCCACTTTCTTAAATTATTGCCCAGCTTATTGATAAAATCGCTGACTAATACAATCTAGAAGCAAACAACACATTATTGATGACAAGTGGTTATCACTTTGATTGGTAGTTAGGACCAGTGGCAATGACACACAAAACAGGAAAACACCTTGTTAATGTCTTTCACTAGACTGTGAGTGCTTTCAGAGCAGCATCCTTATTATAGCACTAGTGCTGCGATCAATACCTTGAAAACAATGAAGTGCTTACTAAATGTTTATTAATGAATGTATAAGTAAAGCATTATTAGATAATTTTCTTATTTCAGATCCTTATCTGAAATAAATATAATTTAGCAAATTTTCCATTTTGATAGCCAGGAGCTTACTTTGTTATCTATACTACAGTACAAACAAATTTAACCAGTAAACATTTCTTATATCTACTACAGAAAGGTGTGTGGCGAATATAGAGATGGGTAAGAAGAAATATTTCTCTTCCAAAAGTTTATGCTCCAGTTAGGAGATTGGAAGACACTCAGTTATAAATTTTCTTGTGGGTTCAGAAAATAAGTTAATTTAAGAACAATAAAATAACATATACAACAGAAAGTAAAAGAGATCTTAGAAAGCAGGATTGTTGTTGTTGTTTTTTTTTTTGTAACTACACTGAGGGAAGAGAGCTGGAGAGACTTCTTGAAAAAGAAGGCCTTTTTAATAAATAAAGCCAACAAAGGCAAAGAGGTATCAGAGAACTAAAAATCAGGGTGGGAGCAAACCTCCAACTGACAACTGGGGAGGCATTGACAGTAGAGTAGCAGAGAAAACTAACATGGAAATGAATCAACCTTATAAGATATTACTCTAATTATCTCATTTCTTAGGAAAAAGAAGTGGAACACTTGGGGGAATGAGCGACTCCCTCCAGTATCTAGTAGAACCAGGATTCAAAGCCATTCTCTTTATGCTGATTTCCAGTCTCTGGTTTGGCCATGGAAGGAGTGCTGTGCTCTTCTTGCTCTACTGCATTCTTACTGCTCTTGTAGTTCAGACTGAGCTTCCTTGAAGTCTGGAGAGTTTATCTATCTCTCCTCTTCCTGAAGGTTGGCTTTAATGATCCAGGAAATAGCTTTCTGCTGAGGGAATGTCTCTCAAAGTACCTAGCACGTTGACAAATGTGTGATGGGGATTCAATATGCGAGATTTTCCACTTAGCACAGGCTGTGAGTGGCTTGTACTGGTCGTTAGTGGTGTGTACTACTACGACTGTACAAGAAGATAAAATATTTTCAGATGAATCCGTCAACAGCTGTTATTGACTTTGGTCATTTCATATACCCAGGCCTTTGTTGTAGGACCCCTGGGGCAGTCCTGTGATCAAGCATCCCAAAGGTTGATGTTGACACAACAAAGGGTCTCCAGGATCCACTCCTTAGCTCGTTCTGCATCTATTCTGATGGTTTGGGAACCAACCAATATTTGAATATCTTCCCTTAATCGAGATCACCCAGTATTCTTGGGAACCTTTCTTTTCCTTCATCCCATCGCTATTTGACTTTCCTGGAAGAGCCATGATAAGTTGGTTAATTCTTACTTGTTAATTTATATCGTTTATGTGATGCCTCATAGTTCCAAGTAATACAGGAGAAAACGACAAGCTCAATGGAGTTTTGAAGACTAAGTTGCTCAGAGTAAATTGCTAGAGCCATTCCTCAGAGGAACCAGTGAAATCCTTGCTGCTGCGCATTGAGTCTCACCAGTCCTGCGATGTTGTGTTTCTGTCATTCTAGCTGTGCCCATCGGCTTTGTGGGGACCAGCGCAGCTGTGCACCCATGCTGTTTGAGAACACAGAAAAGGTGAACTGTTCTTCTAGCAGCCCTGGTCACCTGGAGTGTGCTATTACCTGTCAAAAGGGGTTTGTCCTACAGACCAGCAGGGGGCAGCAGCTCAGGCCTATGCAGGTGAGTTGGAATCCTCTGATTAGCAGGGCCAGGTTTTCCAGAAATTTATGCACTTCTCCCTGGCTAGACTAATGAGGAGAGGGTGTTTTAATTTTTTGCCCTAACAAGCAAAGAGGAGTATGGCTTAATAGAAATGTAAAGTATCTAACAGCATGTGTGAATCTGATTAACCAGGATGTAAATTTACCCTCTAGGAGGGCAATACATAGCCATGCTCATTCCGCTCTCCTTTGTTTTTATTTTCCAGTCAGAAATTATATGTCTCCCTTTTTTTTCCTTCAAGGTAAAAATGCAAAATATAGACATGTGCATTATTTCTAGGAACAACAGTTGCAACTAACTTGTCTGTGGTTCATTGTCTGTTCCTGACCTCTGTCTTCTCTTTTACCAAAATAGAGAAATACAGACTAATTTCTCTCCAAAAGCATTAAGTATGTCACAGAGGCAGAGATTCTAGTAAGATGCTAGTTTTGGTTGAATTTTCCCGATTTCTACAAGCCCCATTATTCCAAATTTCTACTGTACCATTTTCAAGATCTCAAGGTGTAGTGGAGGTAGTTAGAATATGTTAGTTATGAGCATTACTTAGGAAAGCAATTTGGGTGAAATTTTGGCTCCCCTATGTATTAGGTATGTACTTTAAAAAAAGCAAGCATTGTTACCCTCTCCTTTGCTTTTCTCCCACTATCCCGACAAGAAATGTACTCATTACCTTACTGATGTAACTGTAACCTCTCCGTACAACGTCTTTACAAGAAAATATTTTTTTTAAAAGCAAGCAAAAGTAGCTATAATCTCTTTAAGCTTATTTCCACATTTGTAAAATAATCAGGACATTAACGATTTAACTCATTGACTTACTATAATGACTAGTGGGCAATTGTTTTAAAGCTCTTAGAAAAATGTCACTCACTAGCTACTGTTGGGTTGCATTATTATAAGCGTGAACATATATTCCCAGCTTTAAGGGCTTTGTTTTCTGTCATTCTTTTAGAGAGGAGTTTTAAACATGGACAGAACTTTTAGAAAAAGTGAGAATATAATGAGACATACATAATCAGGCAGATTAGTGGTATTTAAGTAGAAAATTAAAAGATGTATATTAACATTAGAAAAGAGTGAACTCATGATTATTGGTCAGATGTCAATGGTTTGTATAATTGAAATTTTTTATCTTGTGCAATTGATTGCTTAACAGGTGGTAAGCCTGTGAAAGAATTTCATATGCTTAGAGATGGTCAGAATTTAAAGGGCTACTCACATTTCAGAAGGTTTAATATTTGTCTAGACTGAATCAATTTTAATTATCTTGAGGCGTCAATTCCTTTATGTGGTATACTTTACTTGAAAAGAAAGAACATCTATCATCTGTTTTGCAACTCAAACAAAGGTATGTACACACTAAAAACAAGGTAGAAGATATTTTAAAAAAAGAGTAAAAAAATATAGGGACAGAATTAATATATGTGGTAGGTTATGGAGAACCAAGAAGAAGAGGCAATGTTGGCAGTGCCTTCAAATTAAGATCAAAGGACAATTCCTAACAAAGTCAGGAGAATACCCAGGCAATCTATGCAGGATTTAGTGATGATCTTTAAGTGATTCCTGGCTTGTTGTGGGCTGAGCTAGGTTTCCTGAATGTGATAAACGTACTGGGGTCAGAGTCCTGTTGGAAGGGGAGAGATGGACAGTCACTATCTGCCAGCCATGTGATACAATCAAGCAACACAGCTCTGCAGCTGACCAGCTGCTCGCATCCAAATCGGCCCCATTAAGGAAATTATACAACCCTGACTGGTGATCACAAGACAGTAGGGACATTTGCTTTTTGTTGACACAAGAAATGAAGCTAAATAGAAAAATGTGTCTGGCTTGTCCTTCTGGCAGACAACAGAGACACACTGGGAAGCAGTGGGGAAGAGCTTGCCAGGAGTTGGTGTCAGGGGTGACAGGTGCCTTGGGCAGTCGTTGGGCGTTTGGCGTTCCTGCCACTGTCACCTCCTGACAGGATAGCTGTCTCAGCCGCAGAAACTCCCCTTTCCACTTTTGACCTTTAACCCAGCTTCTGGAGTGACTGTTGTACGTTTCCCAAAGGAACAGAGAACTTCTGGCTTCTAGGACTTGTTCGTTTTCATCTCCATTCCATACGCCTCTTCTGTCCCTTTGTTTCTCCTCTAGTGAAACTCCCCTAAATATTCTCCCTCTCAGCCCAAGAGTGACCGTCCTCCTCCAGAGCTGGAGGATCATAGCATGGGGCTTGACTTCATGTAGTTATATTTTCCTTTCTAAAAAAATCATGGTAAAGGTGTTTTGCAGAGGGGTTGCAGTTATATAAGTAAGGCAATAAGTACATTTCTGTTGAACATTGCTAACCTCTCCCTCGTTTTCTCCCACTTTCCCTCTCTCCCTTGACTCTCCTCCTCCCTAAGTTGTAAAGTTCATTTCCAACATAGTGTCTTGTGAGTATCCCTGTTGCATTGGTTCACTCTTTGTCCTTTATTTCACCATTTTGTTAATCTCCTTCTCTTCTCCAAATCAGATAAACATGTATACAAGACACAGGGTACCAAAATAAATGAAGGAAAACAGAAATAACTTTACACAGCACATTAGAAAAACAAAACAAAACAAAAACAAAAATACCTCTTGTTTCCCTATCTTAAAATTCATTTTGATTACCATCGTTTTATATGGTCATATATACATACCTATTGAGCTCTTGTGACAAAGAAAATTGCATCTGCATTATTTTATTTATTTCCTTTCTGCCTTTTCTCCTTTTCTCTCTCTTTCCAAGTTTTGACATCTTTAGACATATTCTTAGCTACTTCTTCAGCATGAGATTTACTCTCCTGGTTGATTTTTAGCTCCTGAAATTATCTTTCTTAACACCTTCCACTTCTAGCTACCCAATAAATAATCTCTTTATTTAATTAATGATTGTATTCTAGGGCTGCCTGACTAAAATGGCAGGCCCTGGACATAGTTGGACTCACTCCCACTTAACCACTTTGGGTACCTTCTAAATTCAGCTGTTCTTAGATACTAAGTCCTTCTCTCACAATTATTAATTGGCTTATTAATAAGGTACGGCAGGAAATGAGTGACAAAGCAGGCAATTTGAGAAATTTTAATAAAAAGACTACTCCTAAAGGCTTAAGAAGGATCACAGGAGATATACAGTAGCCAGGGAGTAAAGGACTCAGCTGTCACCCTTAGTCCTGAAAGGTCAGCTGTGGGGAGCCACAGAGCCCATGAACCCATCAGCTGAATGGAAGGATAGCCAAGGATGACCCAACGTACCGACACTTCCTCCAGAGAAAGCAGGAAGAATAAGCACTCAAGTCTCCCATTTCCACCCCCATCTCCAGGTTCCTTCCATGGGGACCTAGGACAAAACCAAATACAAGGCAGAAGCATAAAGCCTGCAGGAGCTAGTGTCTTTGGGTGTAGAGGAGGGAGAAAGGAGCAAGTGCATGGCAGCCAGCAGAGGTATCCGTGCACAGCACTGCCTTTTGGTGATTCTCTTGCTTAGACAAGCTCCTTTCATCAGCATCGGACCCAAGTTTGTGAGCTGCTGTAGTAGAACTGCGAGGCCTAAGAACAGACAGAGGCATGATTGTTTTATCTATATTAAATTTGGGTGCAAATGATCATTGGGACTCTTCAGAGACCTGAAAATTATGTTTTAGATATGGCTCAGTGGTGGAGCATTTCCCTAGCAAAGCCTGATAATTATTCTGATAACCTGAAAGAAATGAATTCTCTGTCATTTCTAGGAGATTGTGCTCACCTGTTTCTCCGGGCACTGGGACCAGAATGTGAGCTGTGTTCCCCTGGACTGTGGCATCCCTGACTCATCCTTGGTGAACTTTGCAAACTTCTCCTGCTCCGAAGGCACTGAATTTCTGAAACGCTGTTCCATCTCCTGTATCCCACCAGCCAAGCTCCGAGGTATTGTCTGACCAGCTGGGAGGATGCAGGTTCTCCTTGGCCTCTGGGGGAGAAGAGGCTCACTCTTTCTTTATCTCTGCATGGTTTCTACCTACTCTACTGTTATGCATTCTCCTGATAACCAGGAAAGCCCCAAAAGACAAACCATTCTTTGTCCTTGATCACCTAGAAAGCTCAAGGTGACCTTCCTGGAGGAAACTCAGTTGTCCTTATATATGCATAACCATGGCATATGGCACCATGTTTGTTTTAAAATTAAATATGTGTAATCGTTCGATGGGTTAGATGTGGTTTGTTACGATTATATAACTTGTCTCTGACTGCACTGCTACTAGAGATGGGGTGGATTCTGCTTTCACTGGCTCCTATACCTTGCTCTTTTCCTCACCAGGCCTCTCAGATTTGGATGTGTCTAACAATTATGTGTTACCCATGCAAGTTCCCAAGTCTTACTCTGAGACATTCTGATTTAGTGGATCTGGAGTGGGCTGGCTGAGGCTCTTGTGAATAGTCCATCATTCGTACTTGGAGAAACTGAGGCCTCTGATGGTTAAGCTGCCTGACTTAACCCTAACTCTACCCTTTAAGTGCTTAGACAGGTTACCAAACTCTAATTTCATTTTTTATACAAGGAATAATACTGAATCTAGTTTATATGATTGTTACTTGAGATCTGTACAAGTTAATACAACACAGTGGCTGCAATACAATAACCACTATATAAGTGTTACCTGCTATTGTTTTATTATTATCTATGGTTACTGTCACAACAATATTTTTATCATTTGTGAGAGGGAGCAAAGAAGATAACGGTTTTTGGTTCTAAGCATTCTTTCATTCAAGCCAAAAAAATACTTACATGACTTCTGCACAGGAGATCCCATTGGCTCACACAGCTAATAACACATAGGATGAACATTTGATGCAAGATTTTAGAGACACTGTTCAACCAAGAACAATGTGATGATTGGAAGAATGTCAATGTATCAATATGTATCAACGATTTTTATTCTTTCTGCTGAACTCTCTGTTCTGAGTACCCTATGCTTCTCTTTTCTGCAATCAGGACTGAATCCATGGCTGACCTGTCTTGAAGATGGGCTCTGGTCTCTCCCTGAAGTCTACTGCAAATTGGAATGCGATGCTCCTCCCTTGATACCAAATGCCAACTTGCTTCTGCCTCGCTGTCTCAGGGACAACCAGGATGTGGGTACCATCTGCAAATATGAATGCAAACCTGGCTACTACGTGTTGGAAAGTGCAGAGAGTCAAGTCAAGAAGTAAGTTGCCGTTGTCTTGGTCTTCACTGTCTTTAACTCATGTATACCTTGCTCCTCATTCATTCATTTGCACATGACAGATCATTCCTCTGCAAATGATACCGTGCCTTCCTGGGATGTCCACTCCTTGTGTATTTTTGTCTATGCAATCTCTCTTTTTCAATACAGATATATTAACCAGTCATGACAGGAAAGTAATTTCAATTCTTTCCTTTAAAATATTCTCTCTCATAGGAGATTTCACAGTGTCACTTAGGTGGTTTATTTTTAAAGAATTTTGGCCTTACTCATCATTTTCCTTGAAAGTAAGCATTAGGCTCCTCCTGAGTGTTTGGCGTGTCATCTAAATCCAATCCTGTGCTGGTACAACCAACCTTATCCATAGATAACCCAAGCAGAGTTCAGGGAGAAACTGCCTGGTTTGGACCAGATACTTAATAAATACATGATGCAGAGAAGCTTTCTCTTTCTGTTTCACTTTCTTATCTATAAAACTGGATGATAATAAATTCTACCTGATAAAGCTGATATAGTGACTTATTGAATTAATATGTAGAAGACATACAAGTCAGTGAGGTAATTTTCAAAACTGAAAATCAACCACCACGTAGTGGTTTTTGCATTGTGATCATAATCTTTATGTCTTCTTTTCCCTGAACTCTGGTTGTCCACTCGGGGAGCTATAGAGAGAAGAGCTTTCCTTTTGAATATGCAGGGTGGGGAGGGAAGAAATGAAAGATTCACAGCACAAGTTAAGATGAAGGACTTTTAAGAGAGTCCTGCTAGGGTGCTTTCTTCCTTCACCAACTGAGGAACTCCTGGCAAGTTACCTGACTTGGATTCTCCATCTCCTTTTAAATGGATGATGACACTCATGCCTCAAAGTGCTGAGTTGAGGATTAAATGAGCTAATCATATCCAGTACAGCACCGGGTTTATGCCAATTACTCAATAAATGGTTTCAGAAAAGAGACTTTGTAACAACAAATATTAATAATCACAATAACTTTCAGCAAAAGAAACTCCATGCATTTTCCTACCATTCATAATGTAGTTACAGCAAATATAAATAAATAAATAAATTTCTTACTCAAGATTTAGTTGAAAGGATAGGTCTTCTTTTTGTTAGCTTTTTGTTTATTGTCTTGAAATAGCGACAGTGCCCACCCATACCATTACCAATGATGCCAGCAGATACAAACTTTGCTATAAACTAGTCTTCTCTAAGCAGACAGAGGAAGATGAGGAAGCTTATTCTCTGAAACATACTCACCCTTCCTCTAGTTGACCCCAGACGTATTAACATGGGGTCTACCGTAGTGGTACAGCCAGAATCAGGGACTAGCACATAGAGGAAGCCATAACTGAAGAATAAGGGACGAAGTACAAACCCTTTCTGAATCTCTGATTCTCTCAGCTCAGAGGGAAGAACCAGGCTGATTAGAATGTGAGTAATACTGATGAAAAAAGTCATAGGATGCTCCCTGTGCTTCAGTGGAGTCTAGCAGGTACTATAAACAGTCCAACAGCAAAGAGCACCTTTGACCACATGTTTCGTAGGCTCTAGATGCAGAATGCTTTTCTTGGTACACTCTGGCAAGCAGTGTGTACGCACATAATTTTCAAGGGTTATTGCAACTGGCTTGAGGACTGCAGTTTTCTTGCCTTATTTTTCTCCCCAGTGCTTTCTCTCCTTGCCTGTCTTTGCACAGACCAGCATCCTTCTCTGCATCTCAGACACCTGCAGATCAGTTAAGTCAGGAGTAATAAAGAGGGGCAGAAGTATGTCAGGATCAGGAAGAATTAAGAGATGAACACCAGCATTCTGGGCCCATGGCTGACCTTTATGCTGGGGAAAAATGAGGTCTCTATCCAGATCTCTGGATGTTCTGCTTCACCCCTTCCATCTATCTGCCTGGGCAGGGGCACTTGAAAGTCTTTCATGGACACAGCTTTTCTGGTTGAGAAACTGGATGCTTGCATCACAACATGAACATCAGTTAGGGCTTAAACATTTACATTTGCAAGCACTGTGCTAAGGAGAGATTAAATTATTTACTGTGCTGTGTAAACTGATTAAATCTTAGTTTGCACCTGTTTATATAGCAGGCGAGGGATTGGTAATCAGAAGTGTGCAAGTTGGGTATAAATCACTGTCACTTGTCACTTGTGTTTACCTAACAGACTGTGTCAGCCTTGTTCTTCCCATGTGGAAAAAGCCCAGTGTTGTAGAGATGGGGCCCTGAAACCCTTTCTAGGACATGAGTGAGTGCAAGAAATGGGTAGAGGAATAAACCCACAGAAATCAAGAACATGCTTATTTTACGCCACTCTACAATATAGTGGGAGAAAACACAATTACTTGATGGCTAGATTTGCAACTTGTTTACGTGACTGAGCAATATATTCAACATCCATGTGTCTTAGATTTTGTCTCCTTATTACAAAGGATAGTAATGAAGTCCAGCAACATTATTTTGCAGCTGATAGTTGTATAATTCACCAAAATCATTGTATAAATGATTAAATTTAGTACATATGCCATACTCTAGCTGTTACTCCTTGCTTATTTCTTTTGTAAAAGAAGTGTAATTTTTCCATGTCTTTCCATTTCCTTATAAAGGGTACAATATCATTCTTTCTAATGGAAGAGTAGACTTCAATTGTGTGTACATATATATATATATATATATATATATATAGAGAGAGAGAGAGAGAGAGAGAGAGAGAGAGTCTTATTTGTTAGTTTTTCTGTCTTTGGGCAGGAAACGGGGTGCCCAGAAAAGGTGAGACAAAGGGTGAATAAATGCATCAGTGGTCTTCCCTAGGCATTCGATTGAAAATGAACTATACAAGTTGTGGTTGAGGAATGAGGGGAACACTGGGAGAGATCAAGGGAAGGGGGTGACACTATTCAAAAAGAAATGTACTCATTACCTGACTTAAATAACTCATTACCTGACTTGTGTAAATGTATCCCCTTTGTACATCACTTTTACAATTATATGTATATACATATGTATACATATGTATATATATGTGTGTGTATATATATATATATATATATATATATATATATATATATATACTAAAAATAAGGAAATGGGCTGGGAAGGTGGTAGAGCACTTGCCTTGCATGCATGAGGCCCTGGGTTCGATTCCTCGGCACCACATAAACAGAAAAATAAAGCCAAAAGTGGCCCTGTGGCTCAAGTGGTTGAGCTGAAGAGCTGAGGGACAGCGCCCAAGCCCAGAATTCAGGCTCCACGACTGGACCCCCCAACCAAAAAAAAACCCAGAAAATGACAACCAAAATATGAGCAGAATGTGTTCCCACCTTCTTTTTCCCAAATCTGTGTTCCAAGAGAACAGAAAGCCACGTGCTGGCTCTGACTTGATCTGAGAGCTCTGTTCCACCTGGGGATGGCAGGAAGGCATGTTTGCCTTTATACAGTGAGCAGCACTCTGCTTCTTGAAAGTCTTCCTCCTGTGTTCTATTCATGCTCACACGTCTTCCTTTCTAGCAAAGAGACAGACAGAAGGCAGCTAGTGCACAAAACATCTTCTAGGCACCTGCCCTCAGCCGCGTACAACTGCATCCCCCCTCCTAAAGTTTCTAGCACTCACCCAAATAGCGCTAAAAAGCTGGGCATCAAAATCCTATCACATGAGCCTTGGGGGAACATTTTATGTTCAAACCATAATCTTTCTTTGCAGCACTAATAGTATGTGGTATGACACTTGGTGCGGCTACAGTGATCTCTCATGAGAGTAAACCATCACTGGCGTGAGCAGCATTTCCCCTGCAATGAACTATGTAGTCAAATTGTGTCGTTCTGTAGGTTTTGGTGTGTTGAATGTAGTTTTGATGGTTTATCATGGATTGATTGGACTACAACTGTACTGTTAAATCAAAGGATATCTTTCTATCCAATTGTGACGTCCATGCAGCGATAGTTTGAAATGCTTCCTATGCCAAAGCAATGTGTAACCAAAGTCACTCTTCTAAAGGAAACTTTGTTCTTCTTAAACAATATCTGTCACGAGCTTTTTTTGTTTTTGTTTTTAAAATTCTTTATTGTTATTGTAAAGGTGATGTACAGAGGGGTTACAGTAACGTAAGTCAGATAAAGAGTATATTTCTTTTTGAACAATGTCACCCTTTCCCAGATCTTGACTATCAGTGTTTTTTTTTTTAAAGAAAGCCTAGAGTAAACTTCCATCTATTTTCAAAATTACTGTATCGGCCCTTTTGTATGGCAGATTTTGGCATGTCATTTTTAGGATTCTTATTTTGAAGGTAATAGAGAAAATACAAATAGAACTAGAACCAATAAGCTTGCAAAAATGTCATGGATAAGGGAGCTTTTACATTTCACAATGTATAATACACACACTTTCTTTTAGACTCTTTCCATTTTCTTCTATGTGATTTACTTCCACATGCACATCAACATTAATCATTCCTTTGTAATTTCATTAGCCTGACTTCCTAGGAAGCTAAAATAAATGTGTTTAACTTATATTTTATCAAAGAGACCATATTATATTCTCGCTTATCATTCATGGCTGCTTTTTCTCATTACATGTTATCTTTACCTGTGAAGGTTAGGTTAACCTCATTAGGGCCCATAATTAATTTAGCTTCTAAAGAAAATACTTCAGACTTCTCACTTACTTAGACATTTTCTCCTTCCCTACATCATTCCTGAGAATGCCATCAGATGATATAGTAGTCAGATCTTCTTGAAGGTAATTGCAAATAGCCATGCTTTTTATTTTGACTTGAACTCTGGGCTTAGGCACTCTCCCTGAGCAACTTTTGCTCAAAGCTAGCACTCTACCACTTAAGACACAGTGCCATTTCTCGCTTTTTCTGTGATAAATTGGACATAAGAGCCCCTTGGACTTTTCTCTTAGTATGTACTTTTTCAATGCATATAAAAACTATTTAAGTTCTTTTTTTGTGTGTGTGTCTGTCGTAGGGCATGAACTCTGGG